TTGACTTCCGTAAAGCATTTGATTTAATAGACCACAATATTTTATCGGAAAGTTAACAAAGTATAACATACCGAGGTCTGTCATGCTTTGGATCTTAGACTTTCTGACTGACCGAGAACAGAGGGTAAAACTCAGCCAAGATTGCCATTCCGAATGGGGCAAGGTCGCAGCCGGCGTCCCCCAAGGCACAAAGCTCGGTCCTTGGTTATATTGTATTATGATTAATGATCTAAGTGTTAAGGATGTTAATGATTTATGAAAATATGTTGACGACTCAACCTTGTCGGAATCAGTTTGTAGCGATGGCCCAAAGTAACTTACAAAAGTACGTAGATGAGTTTAACCAGAAATCAACAGCCGATGGCTTTCAGATTAACGAATCAAAATGCAAAGAGTTTTGTATAAGCTTCGCACCATCCACACGTGAATTCCAGCCAATTACTATTAATGGGAAAATTGTCGAACGTGTAACATCGGTAAAATTGCTGGGTCTAACCATCTCAAATAACCTGAAGTGGAATAGTCATATTTCACACGTTTGTAAAAAGGTCGCTCCTCGTCTATATTTTTTACGACAACTAAAACAAGCGAAACTACCAGCTAACGAACCTAATCCTTTTCTACTCCACCTGGCACCTGCATTCGACCAGTCATCGAGTATGCGTGCCAAGCATTTCACGACTCATTACCAAATATCTGTCTGATGATCTGGAAAGAATTCAGAAACGAGCGTTTCGAATAATATTTCCAGATCAACACTACAAAGAAGCCTTGAGGAACACGAACACCCCATCATTGTACGATAGAAGACAGGAATTAACAACAAAACTTTTTAAGGACATAGTCAATAATCCTGAGCACAAATTAACAGATTTGTTACCGCCATTAAATAACGATAATAGCCACTTTTTGCGTAAAAATAGGAAATTTAAAGTGCCATTTCACAAAACGAACAGATTTAGAAACAGTTTTATCACTCATAATTCTAATAAGTTTTTTGAATAACTTTAAATCTGTGTTACCATGAATATGCTAGTTTTTTAACCTACTTTAAATTTTAGCATTACAGAGTGTTTTAGTAATGATAATTATAAGTCTGCGCATATGTATATTTTTGAATTGAACAACATAGGAAGAGTTTTATTGTACATAATTCACTACAAGTATAATGTAATTCTCAATTTTAGAACACTACTTAGTACAGTTTATAATATCGATCTATGATATTTGTAAAATTAACGAAATTAAGCCTTTGGGCTTCAATGTTAATTCTTAATAAAACTATTTATCTATCTAATCTATCTATCTATCGTACTCTATTCTATAAATCTACTTACTGGGGTTTCTTTCGCTTTAAGGGAGCATTCAATTTTACAATTTTTTATGCTGAATCGAACGGTGGTATTTTTATCCTTATTGCGCCATTAGGCATTACAAATACAATAATGACAATATCATATTTCACACTACAGTTTTCACGGACTGTTGTTCGATAAATTTTAAATTGATATGATACCAATATGCCTCTCATAAAGCAGTTATTTATTAAAACTACGTTGTGCAGTTTAAGTCATAACCTTTTACCTTGAAATTGTCTTTTACTCGTTTATATTCAGATTCAGTATATTATGATCGTGCACGGGAATTCAACGATCCCGGCAAATTTCGGATTTTCAGAGTCGTGCACCAAGAAAAACGCATTAAATAAACTAGCAAGAATGTCCAGAGTTAAACACAATGCAAAATCCATAGAAAACAGGTACAATTCGTTCAAAATTTCCACGAAATTGGTTGAAATATTTTGCCCAATCGACGAAAGTCCCGGCCATTTTGAAAAGGATCAAGCAGTCATTAATATTCTATTTTGTGGCTATCGACGATCGGAGATTGGAAATTGATGCCGAAACCCATTCTCGCCTGGGCACAAGTGCCCTAGCGAGTAATTATCAGACGTTTATATTTATATATCGTGAAAGCCTCAAAGCCGCGAACGCTATCAGAATACTCGATTTTTATATACTCAAACTGAAACGAAGCCATTGTGCTCGCACTGATTATATTATTATTGTGTGCAAAGCTTCAAAACTACAGCACATTTTGTAAATAACATGATATATAAATATCAAACAAAATTTGAATTATAAATAGTATTTATACATACTATTGAAATTTTAATAATACAACGAAATAGCAACCATTGTGAAGTACGCATAACTATTCAACATGACATTCAACATGACATTAACCTGAAGTTCAGGCCCTAATTTGAAATAGGGCCTGACACAAAACCTGTCTAGACCTATGAGGTGTGATATCCGCCAAAATTTGATATATTCAATTATGCCATTGGAAATTGCCTTTATGAAGTTCGGTTATGCTATTATGATATTCGATATTATGATATTCTAATTTCATTCGGCGTGAAACAGTCATTATTGAAATTTCATTCGGCGTGAAACAGTCATTATTGAAATTTCATCCGGCGTGAAACAGTCATTGTTGAAATAGTCATTCGGCATGAAACAGTCATTGTTGAAATAGTCATTCGGCATGAAACAGTCATTGTTGAAATAGTCATTCGGCATGAAACAGTCATTGTTGAAATAGTCATTCGGCATGAAACAGTCATTGTTGAAATAGTCATTCGGCATGGCACTCAGAAACCAAAATTCGACTTCCGGTTCGGCATGGGCACTCAGAAACCAAAATTCGACTTCCGGTTTAGCGGGAAAAGAACGCGGGAAATTGTAATTTCAACATAGGCGAAGGCAATTTAGGTCAACAGCGTGCTGTTTCTTTGTTGCAAGAGGCGACAAGATTGATCAGAGAATGGCCTGGATCATCAAATGATGTTTCTTCAGCACAAGTTGCGAGTCCAAATGTAATATCTCAAAGTTTCTTTGTAGGGATTCCTTTGCTAATCGTATACAGTTTACAACCCTCTCGTCAACAATGGGCTATTACATTAAAAAACCAAACCCCCCTGTCGAGGACCTCTGCTTTGGGGGATTTTACCCCTCTGGAATGCAAAAAAATCTGTGTAATTGACCCCTCTGGAAGAGACTTGAGCCCCCTCTGGAAGTGCATTTTTGCTTTTTAACCCCTCTGGAAAGAGCATTTTTCTTCCATTTTTCCCAATTACCCCTCTGGAAAAAATGACTAATTTCCCCCTTGGAAAATGATGTCCTCGACAGGGGGGGTACGGGTATTAAATGTAATAGCCCAATCTGCACATCAGCGTACCTCGCTACAGTATTAAAAATTCAATCGAGGCGGTACTGCACACTATCAACTACATTTTCGTCAACATTCTCTGATCGTAGTTGCCTCAAAATTGACTCCAATATATTTGTTAGCTCAATTCTAGTTTGCCTACTTGTTTCCAATACGTCTACAGCACTTATATTTCTGTGTTGTCGGCCATGTTGAAATTACAAATTCCCGCGTGCTTTTCCCGCTAAACCGGAAGTCGAATTTTGGTTTCCGAGTGCCATGCCGAACAGGAAGTCGAATATTGGTTTCTGAGTGCCATGCCGAATGACTATTTCAACAATGACTGTTTCATGCCGAATGACTATTTCAACAATGACTGTTTCACGCCGAATGACTATTTCAACAATGACTGTTTCACGCCGAATGAAATTTCAACAATGACTGTTTCACGCCGAATGAAATTCGAATATCATAATATCGAATATCATAATAGCATAACCGAACTTCATAAATGCAATTTCCAATGGCATAATTGAATATATGAATTTTGGCGGATATCACACCTCATATAGACCGTGGGACGCCCACATGTTATTTTTAGACACACATGCAATATGATTGACAAGTGTTGTAGATTTCGTTACACAAAAAATTTATATTCTCATGAACATGTCCGCAGAGCATTTTGCTTTTTAATTAAACTTAAAAATTCAAGGTACTTTTATATAATTAAGAGTCAGTATCTCTATTTAACCGAACAGGCGAACAGCAAACAAAGATTTAAGAGGCCGTCTCTGTAAGAACGGTCCACTGCAAATATGTTCAGAAAATATTTGACCTTCAAACTTTGTAGTTAAAAAGTATTTCATACAACGTTAATACGGTGCTTACACATTTTGCCATATCTTTCGATATGGCCTGTTTTTGCCCACTGAATCTGAACACCTTAATTGGCATTTCCGGTCGCTGAAAATTTAACAATATTTAGGTAAATTGAAAAGTCTGCTACGGACACTACAAAACTCCGATTTACACTATTTCGTTATATGTTGTAAAACGCATATCAATCTTGACTATGCGTGGAGTTCATTGTGTTTTGTTAACTTTTCAATGCAAAATTAATCTTTCAAAAACAGCCTAAAACTCGTTTTCCCAACTAAGACAAAAATATGCCGTTTTTTAATGGCAATATCTCAAAAGTTAGAAGCAGTGAAGAAACTAACATACCACTAAAGTTTAGCTTGTATACCATGTTAAAAGCCTCTTTAAAAACATGTTGCGGTATTTTGCCGTATTTTGTGCGACAGCCCTTCAAAACATTACCAAATTACGAAATTTACATGGAATTTTAACATTCAAACAGGAAGTTTAAAGGGAGCACAATCCGAGCAGGATTGGTGTTAGACTTCAACCAAAAATGTTAATGCAAAATTTGAAGTAGAAAAAGCACTCACATGCCACGACTGGTAAATTGTTTTAACTAATATGGCGCATTACTATGAAATTCGTGGTTTTAAACCGTTTATAAATCGGAACGAAAGTTGATTTGGTTTTCGCGTGCAGTTTTTCTGGCTAATTTAACACGTTGTGTGTTTACAGTAAGCGAAAGAATCTTAAAACGCATCAGATGATTAACGAATTGTATGTATCACAAATAAAAAGTGTAATTGCGGACAGAAACCTGCCGGTGGGGCCCGGGGAGGGGGGGGGGAGGTTTGCGCTCGAGTTAAAAGGAGTTGCTAAAATTAGAGTAAATGTTTACGACTGGAAACCATAAAGCATGTATAATGGATCTTTACTGCTTTTTGAGTGCAAGTGACCCTGCTAATTGCGGAGTTTCACGGGGATGTACCGAAACAGTTTGTTTGTATGACTGCAAGGATGACATTCGTTCTCATCTTCGAAGCTGTCATTTGTCTAAAGAAAATGTCGATGAATATAAGCTTATCCTGGCGAGGGCAGGCCTCTTTGACCTTAGCGACGACCAAATCTGCAAAATGGGCATTTGCCCGAAACATCGACATAGATTAGGAAGGTATTGGTTGAAGAGCAAAACCACATGTCAATATCCTGGTCATGTCGGTAATAGTAAGAAAGTCGTGGGGAGAGATACATTCTCCATCAAGATGTCTGAGGAAGTGCGTAATTTACCCTATATTTACTTATATGACAAACTAAGACTCATTAACCCGAGTGGAAGAAAGTATTTGCCTTAGATTTTTACGCATGCCTAAACGCCCAACGAGTTTAATACATGATTATTATAATGAATTACACGCGTTTTCGAAATTATGCGACCAGGCGAAAATAGCTGGAGTTAACATGTCAGTTTTATGTCACACGGTCACGAAGTTCAAACTGTTTACAACTTTTAGTTTTGCGGTTCATTATCGATATATATGCTTAGTATCCTTTATATATAAAGCCTGGGAGAAGGATTTTCAAGTTATTTGTGTGATAATTATTGCAAAATTTAAGCACAACGAAATCATAATATTACCGCTATAATCTAGCGCAGGCGGGTTTAATACACAGTAAAATCGAGGTACAAAATTGTTCTTTTCCGAACTTTGAAAGTCAATCTCGCCACAGATTTCTGTTGTGATGGCTTTTTGTTCCTTTTAGTTTGTATATCTAGCTCATTTTGATTCAATTTTCTTCTTTAAGTATTAAATACGTTATAAAATGACTTTTGTTTACGTTTGCTATTTTTAGATAAAACTTATTAATTAACTGACATTTGAACAAACATTATTTTCGAGTTAGTCGATCGCGTGATTTTGGAAACGGGTGTAATTAGGGAGGGACCATTAGAAAAGTGATGGGGGGGGGGTCCATGTCCAACGTGCACGATTATTTTTTCAAAATTTTTTGCTGTGTCGATTTTTTTTTTAATCCCTTGCTCGATTTTATTTTTTTTCTTAGCGGGGCGGGGGGGGAGGGGGCGGCGAAGTGAATTTTTTTTCCGGACCACACCAGTGTTGTTAACGTTTAAAACACATTTTCCCTTAAAACATGATTAAAACGCTTTTTTTGCACCAATATCCACTACATTTAGGTTTAAAATTTTTTTCTCACACTATTACTAACTGAAAAATTTCCAAATTATTTTTTTTTATTTTCCAAATTTGGGGGCCACCTTTACACTGTACCTCTGATAGGCCCTGTCAACATATAATTTTCCCTATTGAAAAGTCTCTACACGAATTTTTATTTCAAACTTTTCTGGTGCACGAGTTTTTTCTGTTCCCCCTGCTCGATTTTTCTTTTTGCTTTTGTCCCCCCCCCCCCATCACTTATCCAATGGTCCGCCCCTTATATGACTGACTCTTGATATAATTTAATGTAATGTTTTGAGGGCTGTTTTTATTATTAGACTTAACTGTTAGCTTTTTCTTTGGTTGCATGTTCTCATCAGTTTGATTTGTATTTGTCATGCTTTACCAACATTACATGTAAAATTATTGAACTCGGCAATTTTCCCGCCAAAACGGACCGGTCAGGTAAGACAGGTAAATAAAAGGCATATTGACTTTGTCAAGCCAGCGCAGCAGTGGTTTGAAGGTTTTGAGGATTTTTGAATCTAACCCACCTTATATTCAAAAATCCTCAAAACCTTCAATAAAATAAAGCGTTTTGCAAGATTTTTTACACGCCTTTAATATTCTTAAAGTTCCTCCACAAAGAGAATTTATATAAGTGGAAGAAAAACGCCTCTAATTCGAGCTAATGATCGACACTCGGGATATCGGTCCAAATACGGTAACCAATCAGAATGCAGAATATTACAAAACTATAAAGACTATAAACGTACTTAGGTATTGGGGAAGGGGGGGTGTTCGTGTGGATGGATAAAAACGGTGTTCTGATCAAATAAACCTGTTTTTAGCCCTTTGCTGCAGCTGCAGAAAAAGGCACAAGGAAAAATGGATTACGAAGCACGCTGGTTAAAAGCTGACAATGGAGATACGACATCTAAAACTGAAAGAAGGCAAGTTTATACTAATCCCATTCTTCATCTTGCAAGACAATCGACCATCTTTTAAATAAAATATTTTAAACATTTAGGTTTCCTAGAATAGCCAAGCAAGTTGCACAACAATCCTTCCCCGCAATGTTGGGGTCTCCAGAAGTAGAGGGGAAAGATCCAACATGGACACCAAGCAATCTGGAAAGGGCCGATAACAGAAGTTACAATGCTTTGACTAATGAAGATAGCGTGTTGCAAGTTTTTAATGATGGAATGGAAAGCATAGCTAGAGCATCCAACACACACTTTGAACCTGTGATCTTTCAGCTACAAACAACGCTTAGTGAAGCTACAAGCTACGAGAAAACCGAGTGCATGCGAAAGGCTGAAGAGGCGTGCGCAATAGTGTGTAAAACTATTGCACCAAAAGACGGCGAAAATCTCCTCCGTGTAATTTCACCAGTCCGTAGTGAGTCACCCCCTAATGAAGTGCTGGCTCTACTGAATGCCTACAAAAACGCACCGACAAAGAATATCAAGACCCAAATTTTGAGTTTGTATTGCTATCAGTACACTACAAAAAAACTAAAAGAGATGCATGAACCATTCGAGAAGCTCAGCGATCGAAAAATAAAGCTTGCACGGTCGCACGCTAAAACGGTTGGAGAAGGTTTTCCAATTGAAAATGTTACAATGTATCGTCATCGTATGGATAAAGGAAAGCTAGATCACTTTTTGTCGTTTGTTAACCGACCATATTTTTACCAGGACGTTGCATATGGGACACGTAGACTTAAACTTGACAGTGGTGCCCGAATTGAAATGCCAAACGTTGTGCGAACCGTAACTAGATCAACTATTATTGCCCAGTATGAACAGCATTGCGAGGGAGAAGGTTTCAGTCCGCTTAGCCGTGCATCGATGTATCGAGTGTTACAAGTAAGGGAAGCATCGCAACGAAAGTCACTCCAAGGGTTGGACAATATTGCAACGGATGGCAGTGCCGCATTTCATACCCTTTCTCGCATTGTAGAAGATCTGGAACAAACGTATGGAGCAGAAAAAGCGTGGTCCACACAAGTTCTTCGCGGTCTAAAAGATGGTAAACGCTATCTAAAAACGAACTATCGAGTCCACTGCAGAAACGAATCAAGCAGCTGTCCTGACCACTGTCGAACGTTCGCCTTGAGTGATCCTGGTGATCCAGATTTCCAAGCTGAATGTTCGCATTCACACAACGTATCCTGTGAAAGCTGTGAAAACATCAATCAAATCATGACGTCCATTGAAGAGCAACTGACAGAACGTGCAAATAATATGTATACCATGGAACAACTGGACGACTACAAGCATGACGTTGCACAGGCACGACGCTTTATTCATAACTGGAAAGCGCACATTTTACGCGCTCAACAGCAGGAAGATAGCAAAACTAGCTGACGTTATAAAATCTCTAAACAGATCATCAATCTTGATAATTATGGACTGGGCAATGAAATTTGTTCAAATGCGACATAGGGAGAAACAATCCGATTGGTTCGGAAAAAGAGGAATGAACTGGCATGTCTGCAGTGTTCTTTCGAAAAGTGAAACCAATCTCCTCCAAATTGAGTACTACGTCCACCTGTTTAACAGCTGTGTCCAAGACGGTATTCTGTTGTATCAATTCTTGAGCAACTTTTAACTTCAATCAAGAAATAAAGACCAGAAATTCAACAAGTCTTCATTCGCTCAGACGAAGCTGGCTGCTATCACAACAACAACATAGCCGCTGCCATGAGGGACATTGGAGAAAGAATTGGTATTACTGTTGTTCGTTACGACCACTCTGAACCGCAGTACGGCAAAGATATTTGTGACCGCATTTTATGCCACCTCAAAGGGACTATTCGACGTTACTGCCACGAAGGCAACGACATCTTGACAGCTGCGGACATGTACCAAGCGCTCAAGGAACGATCTATCGCAGCTTCTACAGCGGGCGTGTTTTGTCTTAATCAGAAGAATAGGGACTTGCAAGTCAAGAATATCAATGCATTTGGCAGTCTCCATAATTTTCGATATGAAACGAAGGGCCTTAGAGTTTGGAAGGCGTTTGGAATAGGACCAGGGAAGATCATTCCATGGCACGCCATTTATATTCACCACCAAAGTCCAACTGAGCTAACTATCGATGGCAAGAAAGAATTCTTCCTCACCACTGCCAAAGTTGTGAAATCTTCAGCCAATACAAAACCTGACGAACAACCAAATAAGGACAACGAAGATGTGCTGTTATTCGAGTGCCAAGAAGTCGGATGTGAACAAAGCTTTGAAAACCTCAACGATTTAGAAGTGCACATTTCCCTTGAGAAGCACAACACCACGAAAGAAAATATTTATGACTCTCTTAGGCGGGAATGGGTTAGTCAGTTTAACTCCATCAGAATTGAAGAACAATCAACACCGGAAGATAAAGAAAAGAGTCCGGAAATCCCAAACAAGTTTGGAGAAAGGGTGGGCTTTACATCAGGTAAGCACACGAAAGCGTTTTAGCAAAGAGATTCGCGTCTATTTGACAGAAAAGTACGATGTTGGGGAAAAGACAGGTTGTAAACTCAATCCGGAACAAGTCGCAAGAGATATGAGGACAGCAAAGGACGAGGCAGGATTGCACAAGTTTAAGAGAGAGGAATGGTTAACTAAAAGTCAGATTCAAAGTTTCTTTTCGAGGATTACGGCCAATCGACGAAAACAGACTGGCCAAGTCGAAGAGGACGAAGATGGAGTTTCTGATGAAGAACATTTGGCATACTCAGAAGATTTGATTTACGAAGAATGCATGCAAGAGGTGTTGAAAGAAATCGCATTGAAGCATCCAATTATGTACGATACATATGACTTATGCGAACGCACGAAGACCAACAAACTTAAACTTTTTAAGATTCCAATGCTAAAAGAAATTTGCAAGCATTTTGAAATTGTACATTCATCACGAACCAGTAAGCGTGATCTGTTGCAGAAAGTAGAAACTTTAGTATCGACATGTGTATGCATGTGTAAATAGACGACTTATATACGTAGTATTTATTATTGAAGCAATATTCGGATGGGGGACGGTGGGGGGGGGAGCTTGATTTCCATTTTGTTATACGACATATCATAATCCTTCAAAGACTATATAAGTTCCACATGTAATGAACCAAATGAAAATACCAGAAATCACCAATGACATCAATCCAACGAAGACAAAATTGACAATTATTTATATTAGTGACAATACGGAAATTCTTGATATGAATTAGTAAGAAATTGAAAAATATTGTGACTGTTGTATCCGTTGCGAACTACGAAAAAACTTTACACTGACCACATTATTTTAATGCCTTTAATTAATAATGAATCAATAATGACAATAATGACTTTAATTAACTTAATAGGGAAACATTTTATTGTCCAGTATCCCGTATCATTATATAACTTTTCTTTATATCAGTAACCCGTAATAGCGCCTCACTAGTTTGCTGGATCTAATAATAATAACATTTAATATCCATCTTTGGTTAAAAAAGTACAATGGATTTACAAGAAGTGCTAAGGTTAAAATTGATAAGAAGAAATTTTACTATTATTTACATCAATGTTGCTAAAAATGTTTATACTAGTTATATATTCTATAAAATTAATTTAGGACTGTTTTAAAAGGGATATAGCTCTAGGTATAAAGGATTGCCGGTGTCTTTTAGTATACGATACATCATATGGTAGATTATTTGTTGTTCTTAGATCGTGTTCATGGGTAAAAGGTTGGGGGATAAGTTTATTACATGGGTTGGTCGGATCATTTAGAATTCTTTGGTATTCCTTAACAGTTAGGTGTGCCCTTCTTTGTTCTAGCGTTTCAAAGTTGCACCGAGATGTGCCAAGGATTTTGATGCATCTGTTTTGAATGCTCTCTATTTCATCAATGAGATATTGTGGTAAACCACCCCATATCGGAGCTGCATATTCTAAAACAGGTCTAATATTGGATTCATAACATGTAATACCGACCTCAGGAGGAAGATTCGCTCTACGGCATTCTCTCAGACTAAACATTCGTTTATTTGCTTTCCTTACAATGTTTTTAACATGACAGTTCCATTTCAAATTGTTTTGATGCCAGACATCCAACAGTTTATGAGAATTTACTCTTTCCACTGCCTCGTTTCCAGTGACCAATGGTTCTGGTGCCGGTATTGCTGTGTTAAAACATATCCACATATCTTTTGTTTTCTTCGAATTTATCGTCATTTTGTTCCTATTAGACCATTCTTGTACTGCTTCAAGGGCCTCCTGCATATGGCTGGATGAACCTTGTGACACCACTTCGTCCTGTGTACAATCATCCGCGTATTTGCATATGTTTATGGATAATCCATCTGGGATTAAGTTCTCAATATCGTTAATGTGAATATTAAAAAGAGCGGGGGACATCACAGAACCTTGTGGGACTCCTGCAGGACAAGGTTTGACCGATGATAGGGTTCCTGCTAGTTTGACCTGTTGTCTTCTATCTTCCAGAAAACTACGTGTCCATAGCCAAAAGGCTTTGGTTACATTCATTTCTGCGAGCTTACGAAGTAGAATTCCGTGGTCAACAAGGTCAAAGGCTTTGCGAAAATCTATGAATAGTGCATGAACTCCATTTTTGGCGCTATGCGTATTGTCGGTCACATTAAACCAGTTCTGCGAGATGTTGGTGAGTGCGGACACGGTTGATCGTTTGCTTGTAAAGGCATGCTGATTATCATTTATACGTGAACTGGGAAGGTTCAGTTTGAGCTGCAGCTTTTCCAGCACTTTAGCCATTTGGGGAAGAATGGATATCTGGCGAAAGTCATTCTCGATATCTCTTGGTGGATTGACCTTCGGAACTGGGATAACTAAGGCGTGTTTATACGCGGTTGGATATTCACATTCTTTTATACTGGCGCAAATAATGTCATGAACGATGGGCGCTAGTTCTTCACAGTATCGTTTAAGCACCCATGCTGGAATCCCATCGGACCCGGGGGCTTTTTTAGAGTTTAGTTGTTTCAAGGCAGTCTTAACCTGTCCAATTGAGGGAGTAGGAGGATTTTCTTGCCTCAGTGATGACGCTACGTCTTCAAGACTAGGGATTATGGTTTCAGGAAGTTTTGACCATGGTTTAGTAAATATATTCTGCAGTATTTCCGCTGTATCGGGAGTGCTGTCTGAGATTAAGTTGTTGTTTAGATTGTCATCTTCAAAGCCAGCTAACTGGGATATCGTTCTATGCCATTTTGCTGCATCGTGTTTGCGTTTGCTTTTGACCTTAGATGAATAAAATTCTGCTTTAGCTTTCTTGATAAGTGTAATGATCTTATCAGCCAATTGTCTATATTTGGTCATGTTCCCTGTAGTATAGGCTTTTTGCCTCGCTTTAATCTCTTTTTTGATATAAGCCGTCATCCATGGCTTGTCAGACGCATGGGTACGTATCGTGGTTACAGGTATTGTTTTATCTAATATGTCTATTATAGTATTTGTAAAAAGACTAACTTTGTTATTGATATCTCGAGCCTCAAATATTGATTTCCAGTCCTCAAGGTTTAATTTTAGGCCGAGTACATTTAGGTTACATGGTTTCGTTAGGCGCACTTTTCGAGTAGAAGGCTTCACGGTTTGTATTGTTTTGGGACTATACAACAAACATTGATGGTCAGAGCGACCAACTGGAGGCAGGTGCACCACTTCTTTATATAAATCTGACATGTTCGTTAGTATTTGGTCCAAAACTCTGGTGCCTCTTGTCGGTGCTTTTACAGACTTCTTCAAGCTAAATCTTCTGCATAGTCTACTCAGCTTCATTTGATTGAAGTCTCCCATTATGCAAACACCAGCAGACGGGTAATCTCGTAAGACAGAATCAAGTCCCCTAGTAATATACTCAATCAGTTCTCTTTCACTTTCTGCCGACTGCCCTGGGGGGAAGTAGACGCCAACTGCCACTATAACGCTAAAAGGCCTAGGGGTTCTGGGGGGTTTAAGAAGCAGCCATAGGACCTCTCTGTTATCTTCTTCTAAATTTTTTAGACATGTAGTTGGTATACAAGCGTTCACATATGCTAATACACCCCCTCCTGGTGTAAGTCGGTCCCGCCGATAGGTATTGAACATTCTTCCAATGTTTATAGCAGAGTCGGGTATATTTGTATTCAGCCAGGACTCTGTAATCATAATCAAGGAGGGACTGTTCATTTCAACAATAGCGTGTAGATCGTCAACTTTGTTCGAAATGTGACATATGTTCGTTAGGAGGATAGTTGGCATGTTAGATATAGTTTTATTAGCGGTTTGATTAGTCGGTCTAGAATTCCGTTTTGAAATGTTTAAAGTAATTAGGTTGGTAGGGTTGCGCCTATTTAGTTTATATCTATAATTACGTGATGAGATTATAACTGGAATATGAGCCATTATACGTAGGTTGAATATTTCCCAAGATGGGTGCTACTTTTCTTTGACCACATAGTTTGTGTTTCTTTCGATTTCCATGGCTTACAACGTATGTATTTAGGCCAAAATTATCTTCCTGAAGCAGGGAACTGACGGCCGAAGGGACATGGATCTTAGATGAGATTGTTCCCCTGCGTCGACTTTTGAAAATGGAAATATAAGTCGGGATTATATTTCGTTTATTAAGAAAAGATAAGATTTGGCTTTCTTTCACATTCTCGTCTATACCTGTTACGAGAAATTTCTTGGTTTTACTTCTATTTCGTTTGACACCAATAAAGCCATCGAGGTCACTAGACAACTCGTCAATTTCACGTTGTGAATTCTGGGGGCTAGATGTGGGTATTTTGTTCGTTTTAGGCATTGCCATAGATCTACGATTTTTAGAGACAGGAGAAGATGCTGCTACTTTTGCATATGTCACCTGATCTCCTTCCACTTTAGTTTGTTCAGCGCCAATTGAATCATTAGTTGATATAGGACGAGATGCAGTAGACACATCGTTCGACAATTCTATAGGTTCTACTCTTTCAAATGAAGTAGAGGCATTTTCATTAGGTATTGTATGATCACATCCATTGTTCTCGGTAGGATTAATCAGTTCATTCGAGACAATAGGGCTGCATACTTTAGCTTTGTTACCATTACAGATGTTTTCCCGATTTGCATATTCAAAAGACTCGTTCGTTATAATTGTTGACTCAGTCCGAAATTCATCATCGGGAATCTTTTTATTTCTATCCATAAACTAATCTGTTTGTAATTAGGACGCAATTGCACATATTTAGTTTAATCAATGAACTCGCTTGACTTGCATAGTTGTAAACTTGTAGTAAAGTGATCAGCGTACTTAGACTATTGAAACACGATACCACGTAATAAGTTCTTTGTATGATTGCATGGCGATAAAATATATCACGATAAAATAAACACCACGTGGTGTTTCCACAAACAAAAAGTGTTATAAGTGTAAAAGTGTTACTACATATGATTAATGCGATTAGCATTGAAATACATTTCAATACACTTTACATGGCAGATCTTGGAACACGAGCGGAGACACTTAAAGCCTGCCGCACACGAGAGCTATCTGCTGAGCCAAAAGTTACTCGTGCCTGTTAGCTCAGCTGATAGCTCACCGATCAAACATGTTTGATACGTGAGAAAAGGTTGCATGAGGCAAAAAACTCAGTAAAATGTACCCGCACACGGTGAGCTATCGGCTGAGCTAACAGGCACGAGTAACTTTTTGCTCAGCAGATAGCTCTCGTGTGCGGCAGGCTTTAGCAATATCATTTGAACAAAATTTTCTTTGACATTATACTTATTTAGTTTCTGAATATCTTAGAATGCATTATTGTTTCGTAATACTTCCTCAGATAAGGAAGATCTGAAACAATAAACAGTGTTATTTTTATATTCTGGCAGATGAAGTTTCGGAGTCATGCGAACGTGTCAAGCTTTGTATGAAAACAAGCACACAGCCCATTCTATAATGCCGCTATTTCGTAACCGATATCGCGTGAACAAACTCTTTAACCCCGTATTTAAGATTTATAGCTGCGAGCAGGCTAGCCCAGATTGGCTCCGCCTTAAAACAAGACAATGAAAAACAATGCTAATTTCGGTGATTTACGACATTTTACCAACCAGTTCAATTACAGATTTTGTCCGAACAACATTGCAATGGTCCGGCAGACAAACATTTGTTGTGATGTACTGATGTAGATTTCTATAACATATGCTTAGGTATAAAATGTTTTTATCACAACAGGAAGTGCCAAAATTCCATGTAAATTTCACAATTTGGTAATGTTTCAAGGGCTGTCGCACAAAATACTGGAAAATGCCGCAACATTTTTTTAAAGAGGCTTTTAACATGGCTTACAAGCTAAACTTTAGTGGTATGTTAGTTTCTTCACTGCTTCTAACTTTTGAGATATTGCCATTAAAAAACGGCATACTTTTGTCTTAGTTGGGAAAGCGAGTTTTAGGCTATTTTTGAAAGATTTATTTTGCATTAAAAAGTTAACAAAACACAATGAACTCCGCGCATAATCAAGATTAATATGCGTTTTACAACATATAACGAAATAGTGTAAATCGGAGTTTTGTAGTGTCCGTAGCAGACTTTTCAATTTACCTAAATATTGTCAAATTTTCAGCGACCGGAAATGCCAATTAAGGTGTTCGGATTCAGTGGGCAAAAAAAGGCCATATCGAAAGATATGGCAAAATGTGTAAGCACAGTATTAACGTCGTATGAAATACTTTTTAACCACAAAGTTTGAAGGTGAAATATTTTTCGAACATATATGCAGTGGACCGTTCTTACAGAGACGGCCTCTTAATTAGTCAGTTCTGTGCACGGCTTGACTGCCAAGCTTTCTCAAGGTCTCAACTTGCTGGACGCGGATATACTCTAACGACTAACGGGCTAATAACAGCAACACTTAAATTCTCAATCATACCACGAAGAAGGCGATGTAGCTCAGAAAACAATTACGCCAGTAGGACCTGATATTAAAAATAAGACTTTTGCCGGCGAAGCAAGTTGGCAGAACATCTTGGCTGTCAACAACAACTGAAGCTTTCGAATACATGACTAGTTTGGCTGTTCTTTCAGCGTCGTGTGTGTCCAAATTCGTCAAAGATTTTGATGAAGCCCTTTCAAAATATTGTTTGTTTGATTTATTTTCTGCCATAAAGCATAAAAGAAAAGAAATTCGAAGAAATCGATAATGGAATTTGTTACGTGCGTTTGACCTTTATATTAATTCTCGCCTTGACCGAGCTATTTTTAAAACTATTGTTTATGTGAACTTGCAACCAATCAAAATCCTTCAAGATGCTGATCAACCAATCAGATTTCCCGTCCACCAGGTGGACGGGAATCCCACACTTTAGATAGGTTTTGTGTCAGGCCCTATTCTGTGATAGGGCCTGAACTTCAGGTTAACATGACATTCGATGTACTGTAAATTAACTCATTTCAATCACTCAAACGTCAAAATTATAAATAATAATAATTTTCAATTTATTATAGTAATTCACCGTTTTCACTTTTTTTATACTTTTAAAAAGTTACAATAAAGCTAAATCTAAAGGAAACAAGACGCTCTGTGAAGCGTTAACTCGCTGGGGCTACACAACTGACGCACATTACTGTTAAGATCTAAAGGCTGATTTCCACTGGCACTGTTGCGTTTTTCGTACGCACGTATACACGCACGTAAAACTTTGAATCCTTCTATTTTTAAATATTTTACAAATAAGTTAACAAATTCATACTAAGGGAAGCCTCACATATCGATTTTTTCCACGAGAAACGTCATATGTTCGTTTGGGGGGGGGGGGGTTGGCAGCTGTGACGTTTCTCTGTAAACATCATGGAAAAATTCGATAGTTTTTATCTTTGCAGAATATAAAAAAGAAAACAATTTGATACAAACAGCAGTCTATATATTCGTAATACCATACCTGTTCTATACCTATACATTTATATTATTACGCCTTCCTTGCATTGAAAACAGCTCAAATTTCAAGAAAAACGCGCTAAAATTATCAATATTTCATGCAAAAAAAGTTGTTTTGAGAAACGTTGGAAATTTTGAAGTTCATATATATATTAATAAAAAAAGAGTATGTCAGCAGATGACATATTCCTCGCGGAAGCATCGCCAATAGCCGACCGAAAAAAAATAGTAGAAAATTACCTTATGTGTACTCATAGTGTACTGTAAGAACAAAATATCGATAACTATGTGTGACGTTTCTAAGGGGGGGGGGGGGATATCTCCAGAGAAACGAACATATAACGTTTCTCATGGACAAAATCGATATGTGAGGCTTCCCTTACAAATACAATATCATGTTTCGCACTGAGTACACTACAGACAGTTTTCACGGACTGTTGTTCGATAAATTTTATATTGATATGACACCAATATGCTTCT